TTCTAAAATTAAACTGACATATCACGTTATAACACATTTTAAGTGTTTATATTCTACTTTTTCTGGCGAGCTATTTGACACCGTTTGTGTATGATTTTATAGAAATATGTCAATCTGAAGCTGCAACGAAATGTCCCGTTTTTGAAAACAGTTTGATCAAATTATTGGAAGTAACATTTTAGAAAAACCTAGTTATATGTTGCAGGATGCAGTTTTCCTTCCAGCTACCATCATTTTGCTATTACCTTTGGGCAGTGAATTTCGGTCTTTTTCCCTTTTGCGTTGGTGTTTCCTTTTTATGTTGACTTGAATTCAGATTCACCCTCGTCTGTAGAACAGTGTGGTGTGTTTTGTTAGTGGGTCTTGACTATGTAATCATGTAAATCCTTTTATATTGACACTATGGTTTATATTACAGCTTACTAGTAAATATTGTTTGTTGTATATAATCTGATTACGTCTATATTATTTCTAATATTACAGAATCACTTTTTCTTTGTAATAATGTTATAAAATCTCTACCATCCGTAGAGACAAACATGCAAATGACTATTCCACAGAAAAACATTTCAACGTAACAAACTTTTCTGTATTGTTATAAGTGGGTAGCTTTCACGTTAAACTCCATCAACTGAACTAACTTTCTTTGCTTACATTGTAGTGATGTTGTAACAACAACAACAACAACAACAACAACAACAACAACAACAACAACAACAACAGCTAAGGATACCAGTTCCGGATCTACAGTTTTAGCCCTTGGGCTCGTAGCTGGATTGGCAGTCATTGCGCTGGTCATCACCCTTGTCGTTGTGTTTTTTGTCTATCGTCGACATCGTAAGAGGTTCGTCGTCATGTCCTAGCTAAATATGTGTTGTAAATATATTATATTTGTATGTTTCCATGTAGAAGGTGTTATTGATTTTCTCTTTATCGCTTCATTGAGTAATATTAAACAACAGTGGCTTTTGTCGGTGATGATTCAAAATCATATGTCAGGAAATAATAGATCCTTATCCCCCTAACCGGCATACTATTGGACACTTTTAAAGTAGCAGTTGTCACTGGTGCTTGATAAATGCAGCAACAGATTAAACTAAGAGAGCATATTTGGAGAGAAATTGATGATAAAATAATAAAAGTAAAACATTATGCTAGTATGGGAATTTAGAAATTCTATCTTTGGATTTAATTTACAGAACCTAATACCTTTATATGATCTTAATAATCCTACGTATATATTCCACCTTGAACAAACGTGTCTAACATACGTAGAGTTGAGAGATAATATAATTACTTAACCTAGGCAAATATATAATGAAATATTACTTGATTATATCTAGCGTTGTATAGTGAATATTTAAAACAATATGTTTGTGTTTGTATTGCTGAGCAGAAGCACCCCGGCTAACAATGACTACACGGATATAAATGTGAGAGAAGTGGACAACACTGCCTATGAAGTAGGTATACAACATGTCATATTGTACAAGAAAGCAAATGTCAGCTTTGTAGGAAACCAACAATATTTGATATTAAGATGTTTTATCTTATTAACTGGGTTGTGTCATTTGCAAATCACCAAGATAATTTATGAACTTGATTTTATATAAATGTGTAAATATTTTTTTTTATAAAACATTTAATTAAATTTCATTTATAATATAATACCGACAAATTGATACTGATTTCTTTACACATGGTTGACTTTGGGTAGCCGATTAATATAAAACAAATCTAAATATTTTACATTCATGTTTTATTTAAAAAGGGATTACCTTACTATCCACGGCTATAAAACAACTGAAAACAGTACGAATAATCAAACCACATACTGCATTTTCGAATTCCACTGCAAATCTTACTTTGGTATATTTGAATGCTTTCTGTGAAATAAAGATGAAGTTGTTTGCTGATGTCTTTATTCGGTAATACCCTCTTTGATACTATGTTCACAGGTAAGATCATGTCGATAATCAATTTTAACCTTCTTCTGTATTTATTTACAAAAATTTCATCAATAATTAATTGTTAAGATACTTATCTATGTTTATATTCTATTCGTAGTCATCTGTTGGAATCCCGAACCAGTATGAACGTTTAGAAAACGAGCGTTCAAATGGAAAGAATCCTAAATCGGGATTGTACATGGACCTGGACGACACAACAAATGCACAATCAAACCAATCACCCAAACAAAATGACACGACCGATAGTATCTACAACAGCATAGACGAGTATGAACCGAATGGGGATCAGGGTTATGCTCAAACTTGCGACCTTCCACACCGTTCACAAGACGTGGCCTGTCCTGTAGATATCCCTGTTACGTCAGCTGACTATCTTGTCCCAGAAAAACAACAAGAAGAAAATTCTTCTCAGTGGTTGACTGAGAATTTGAACCCGACAGAAAACTATTTCGTCCTTGAGAAGGACGAAGACCGAGTCCCATCAGACCTGACGGACAATGATACCGACACAGGAGTCGTTAACGTAAACAAAGCAGATACTTATTTTATGTTAGAAGAACAGACGAACAAACAAAACAACGAAAATGTACCAACCGACAATCATTTCTTGCTCGAAAAAGAAAACGAAATCAACACAAAAGAAGGAACTCCCAATGATGATACGTACAACATATTAAACAGCGATATAAATAATGAAAAAGATGAAATCACCGAAGAAGACTACTCTCACGCTAGAGGTGCTGGTATTTCACAAGACAGAAGAACAAGGGAGACAACTGTGGAAGAAAACTGTGAAGACTATGATCAGTTATTCCAAAAACCTAACAACAACGTTGTGTATGATGCTGATAACGATTACGACCACATGAACAATGACGATCCTTTGACCTCCCTTTGATTAAATCAAGCGCGGTTTGTCGTTCCTCTTATCTTCTATTCAACGTTGCTACCCTACAGAAAATAATATGATAATGTCTTAATACATTCGTTACAGATGACACTGGCCCATTGGAGTTATCTCCCATTTGAACATTGATGTATTAATAGCACGTCGACAAAGCTCTTTCCTCCTAATGCTAGAAAAAGTGTTTGTTATTTTAGTCTTGACGTATGCATTGTTTAAACTTCCTGGAGCATGGGAAGCATGAGACAACTAGATGTATATCCTTGTGTATCAGAACTTAATATGTACATTTGTAGACAGAATGTTTCAAACTATATCACTCCTACTTTACTACAGAATGTATGAAACCTTATTCTAATGCGTAATATATGTAATAGTGCTTAGTGTTAACCTATTGATATGTTGTTATAAACCACAGTAAGGTTTAATAATATTAACATTTTACCAAATTATTTCATTAACAACTGTATAGTCCAGATACTATCATATTAATGTTATCCAATAGTAATAAATGTATACTGGTCTTCCTATATTACCCTTTCCCAAATTTCTTCTTTTAACGAACATCGAAATAGTTTCTTTACCATGTCATTTTGCAGTATTTTTGCATAAAAATATAAATTTATCTTGTTCCTTTACATCTATATTTCAAAGACTGATTTTTTGGGGGTTTTTTCGTTCATATGAAGTATGTCCAATATCAACGGCGCTTTATCTTATTGTAAAAAATAAATATCTTACATTTTCACAATTACAAATACGGTAATAGTCAGTCGATCATTCATAATTCATAAAGGTGTATTTTACTACACTTTACTAGATTCTTCTTATTTGTAGGAATGGGGATGACATGTACATTCTTACCATTTTGTAAATACCTTTTTATCTATTGTGTTTATGTTAACCTCTCAATTAAGATATATACTATATACATTTTTAATAATACTCAATCGTATCTGTACTACAAACTGTTTAATTTACACTAACCCAATATGTCAACCACTTCGAACAAAAGGTTATTTCATGTAAAGAGATAATTCCGTTACAATAGCACATTGAATTAATTAACACTTTGTTTCATGTATAAGAATACTTAAGGATGTGATAACCTACTGTAAATTGATGATAGTATCTCTGCTCAAAAATGATCGATACATGTTTTAATAGCCAATAGTAGGCATCTATATAGATAATGTTAATATTTAAAATATGCTCAGAAATTACCGCTACAAATGTGTCATATAAACTCTACAAGTAGGTTGAAGCTGGAATATTCCTACTGACGATATTAAAATTTAATTCAACTTAATAATAAGGAACAATTGTCAGGAAACTGATGAAGTTGAATATTATATTTCTACGTTTAAAGAAGAAAATAATCTCTTGTTTTCTACTGTTACTTAAACTTTGTTTTGTTATTTCCCCACTTTACAAACCAATCAACTGAGAGTTTGGTTGATTGTAAATATAATATAAAATATAAATACGATATCACAATAGTATTGACCTATTCATTTACTGACGTCACAGTACACCATTCTTTTTGTAACATTTGTATGGGAGATTTACTTTATATATCTGTACATGCGATCCACATTGAAACCTTAACAAGAATTATTTAATAAAAATAATATATTTAGTTTTCTTAATGAATACATATAACAAACATATTCACCACACAAGTAACATATTACGTTTTTCAAAAAATGTAATAAATATAATTATATCCCCCGTGGTGTCAGAGTGTATGCGTCGCTGAAGATGAAGTCTTATTGTTGTCGCAAAAAGGATAATTATTAATAAACGATTATCAAACTCCTAAAGTTTTTTTGGTTTTCCTTTGATAAACTATGGAACACCGAAACACAGTATGTATTGGTGCTTGGGTGCTTTTATTTTCACATCCCTTAAACGATTTGATAATCTATTTTACATAAGATGTAACATCATCAGGTTAGAATAGACATGACAGAGTTATGATACACATCAACACTGAAACATAATCTCTGTTACATAAGACAGACCATCATCAGGTTATAATAGACATGACAGAGTTATGATACACATCAACACTAAAACGTAATATCTGTTACATAAGACAGAACACCATCAGGTACTGATAGACATGACATAGTTATGATACAGCACATACGTATTGCTATCACATCAACAATAAAACAGAATATCTATTACATAAGACAGAACACCATCAGGTTATAATAGACATGACAGAGTTATGATACAGCACATACGTATTGCTATCACATCAACAATAAGAATTTCTTCCAACAGAAGAACTGATTTAGGACTGACAAGGATGAAAATAGATTAAATAGCAGTGTAAATATGATCGATATTATAGGTGTAACTATCTTAACTATATAATAGCAAAGTTTATTTGGTAAAATGTTATTATTCATAATGCATATGTTGTGGATATTTACACATTTAATAAGGAAGATTTTATAGTGTATTAGTGGTGGTTAATGTGCAAGACGATATAGACGAATTTTCGATATATCCAACAGTAGTCCAACGAATAATATAAACCCACTTTCTATTCATTTTATATGCATACGTTCATATCTTCTTGGTACAGAATAATCTGTTTTTAATCACGTAGCATTTACTTTACGAGATTTTTTCGACGTTTCTAAATCCCCCTCCTCCAATACAAATGAGACAGGCATCGTTACCCTTGTTCGTCCCGTCGCGCCGCGATTCATTGTCATAACTCTACAGACGTATTTTCTGAACAGATTTTTTCCAAAGCTTATCCAAAGATCCAGTATGGAAATATCTTTGATAAATCGTATTACAGGGTCTATAGGTCAACACCAAGGTCATTGTAGCTATTTATAGATTAAGCATTACAGTTTTGTCGACCGATTATTTTTATCAGTCTGCTGACATCAGAATCAAGGTGGTATGTGTATCTTATAAACGATTTCTAGTTATTTCATTGAACACCTTGCTGTTGAGCAAACATAGTAAATCATTCATTTCAATACTTCATGCACAAATTCAGCAGATAACGAGTAAGGCCGATATCTTCTATAGGGTGTTTATACCACGAAACGCTTCAGTGGGTAAACCCTATTTATAATTGCAAACTAACACGCATCTGTCTGTAAATTATAGGAATATTATCTAGGCGCCTTTCCGAGTACCGCATCGTTTCTGTCATGAAGTAAACAAGGCCTGTCTTACCATATATCAGCGTTACCTACCGTTATAGACCTACAAAGGGTGGCATTTTTTGTTTAAATACACCTACCTATATCGACTTGGTGGTCGATACATGCGCTTATTAGGTAACATGCCGCTTCACAGCGCAGTTCTAGATTAAGAACGTACAGGTATTATCGTAACGAGGGACGCACTATGGAGGTATTCTAAAGTAAAATCATGGCGACCAGATCCACGGGAGCAAGAAGACAAAGCCGTGTCAAGGTCCAGCAAAGTGAAGGTATCAATGTAGAATGGTCTAAACTTCTCAAAAACGTATATGAAGAATGTAGATAAGAAATCAAATATCGGTCAATATTGATTGTAAAACTGTCATGGAGCATTATCACGTGGCTCATTGTATATATATAAACAATACATGTACTGTTGATAAAGGTAGTTTATAACCGTTTGTATGTAGTTTATTACCCTGTATATGTAGTGCATTGCCGTGTACATGTAGTTTATTACCCTGTATATGTAGTTCATTGCCTTGGGTATGTAGTTTATAATATAGTATCTGTATGTCATTGCCTTGTGTATGTTGTTTATAACCTTGTATATGTAATATATATAGTTGTTTACATAGTATTTGTATTCAATAGCTTGATTAATGTATTCCATTACATTGTATATGTAGTATATTTCCTTGTACGAATGAGTTGTATTTAATTACAGAAGCACAATACATGTCCTGGTAGTTACATAAAATATGAACCTTTCCGTCATGTATAACATTGATTGAAAGCACTCTTTAATTAATACTTAATCATTCTCATAACATTTTTGAGCAATGGTATACCATACCACTTTCCTTATACAGCGCACTGATAATGTAGTCTCTACATGTCTGTCGTACAGGTTAAAAAGCCGTTCGATCACAATATCGTGACATGGGACGAAAATATGTTTTCAAACTAAATCGAGTATTTTAAATCACAATGATTTTAACAACCAGGAAGTTAAAATCCAAGAGCCCGTAGCCAAAGAGCGTGACGCTATTTCGAAATGTGGTAAAGTATTGTCATCTTTATGATATCTTAGCGATGAACTTGACGAGTCAATTCTTTTTAAAAATTCTTCATTTAGAAATAAAAATCTTATAAGGGTTTAGTGTTGAATGTCTGTATTAGTAAATGGATCTTATACAAAGTTAAAAAAGAAAAGCCAAAGAGCGTGACGCTATTTCGAAATGTGGTAAAGTATTGTCATCTTTATGATATCTTAGCGATGAACTTGACGAGTCAATTCTTTTTAAAAATTCTTCATTTAGAAATAAAAATCTTATAAGGGTTTAGTGTTGAATGTCTGTATTAGTAAATGGATCTTATACAAAGTTAAAAAAGAAAAGTATACAAATAAAAAAGGTAAATAATAATAATATTAAGCTAACCAGACCTAAGCAAATTATCATTAGTTAATACCGGGTACACACAATACAGACTGATATTGACATACATGTACACAATACAGTCTGATATTACCATACATGTACACAATACAGTCTGATATTACCATACATGTACACAATACAGACTGATATTGACTGATATGCAAGTTATAAAGTATATAATTTCTTGACTTGTGTTCTGTCCGGGCCTCACATTTCAATCTAAGCCACCATATCACCTTCGCCTAACTAAATATCATAAGTAATTTTGACCACTTCACTGTTATTGCCTCCTCAGAAATGTTTTGATGTTAAAATGGTGAACAGGCTGATAATCTCGATATGATCATAGTGAAAAATATTGATGGTACGAGTACCTGGATCACATTTTGTTGTATTTACATAGATAACAATTGCACAAAAAAAGTATAAATCAGACACAGTACAATTAGGACTTGTAATAAGTAGTTCATATCAGAAACATTCGGATTCACATAAAATATGGTATATGCTACTTTGTTGGGGATCTTTACCAAAGGCCCAGAGAACCCTAATGATATAATATGCGCTAAGTTTAATTTGGACGCAGTTTGATGAAGAACATGAACAAGTTTTATCGTCAGGGTAATGATTTTATTGGGTGATATTTTTTTTGTAACATGAAGCTTGACGGTTTCTATTATGATTTATAAAGCTTGACGGTTTCTCTTATGATTTAATTGAGTGATATTTTTGTGTAATATGAAGCTTGACGGTTTCTATTATGATTTATAAAGCTTGACGGTTTCTCCTATGATTTAATTGAGTGATATTTTTGTGTAATATGAAGCTTTACGGTTTCTATTATGATTTATAAAGCTTGACGGTTTCTGTTATGATTTAATTGGGTGTTTTTTTTTGTAATATGAAGCTTGACGGTTTCTTTTATGATTTATAAAGCTTGACGGTTTCTGTAATGATTTAATTGGGTGATTTTTTTTGTAATATGAAGCTTGACGATTTCTATTATGATTTATGAAGCTTGACGGTTTCTGTTATGATTTATAAAGCTTGACGGTTTCTGTTATGATTTAATTGGGTGATATTTTTTGTAATATGAAGCTTGACGATTTCTATTATGATTTATGAAGCTTGACGGTTTCTGTTATGATTTAATTGGGTGATATTTTTTTGTAACATGAAGCTTGACGGTTTCTGTTATGATTTATAAAGCTTGACGGTTTCTGTTATGATTTAATTGGGTGATTTTTTTTGTAATATGAAGCTTGACGGTTTCTATTATGATTTATGAAGCTTGATGGTTTCTGTTATGATTTAATTGGGTGATATTTTTTTGTAATATGAAGCTTGACGGTTTCTTTTATGATTTATAAAGCTTGACGGTTTCTGTAATGATTTAATTGGGTGATTTTTTTTGTAATATGAAGCTTGACGGTTTCTGTTATGATTTATGAAGTTTGACGGTTTCTGTTATGATTTAATAGGGTGATATTTTTGTGTAATAGAAAGCTTGACGGTTTCTGTTATGATCTAATTGGGTGATATTTTTTTGTAATATGAAGGTTGATGGTTTCTGTTGTGATTTAATTGGGTGATGTTTTTTTGTAATATAAAGCTTGACGGTTTCTGTTATGATTTAATTGGGTGATGGTTTTTTTGAAAAATAAAGTTTGACGGTTTCTGTAATTATTTAATTGGGTGAAATTTTTTATTGTAATATGAAGCTTGACGGTTTCTATTATAATTTATGAAGTTTGACGGTTTCTATTATGATTTAATTTGTTGATATTTGTATGTAATAGGAAGCGCTTGACAGTATCTGTTATGA